TTGTTGTTGTTAAGTGCCATTGAGTCAATTCCAACTCATAGCGACCCTGTACAGGGTTTCCAAGGAGTGGTTGTTGAGTTTGAACTGCTGACCTTGTGGTTCAAACTGACCATATGGTCCAGTGCTTTACCTGTAGTACCACACCAGAATCATTAGCCACTAAATATTCCAAATAAGATTTCTTATTGTTGTTGTTGTTGTTGTTGTTAAGTGAGGTCAAGTCTATTCCTACTCTTAGTGACTGTGCATAGAGTTTTTCAGGAGTGGCTGGTAGGTTTGAACCACTGTCCTTGCAGTTACCAGCCCAGTGTCTATCCTACAACACCACACCAGGACTCCAAATAAAATGTGGTAGTTGATAATTAGTGGGCACCCAGGAAATTTTGTTGATTAAGTGAATACACACTTGGTTATTCAAACTCATTTGGGCTGTCAACTTTACACATTTCATTTTATCCTACATAGTGAGTTAAGTGTTGTGCTGCAAACCACAAGGTCAGCCATTTGAATCTACCAACTGCTCTATGGGAGAAAGATGAGGCTTTCTACTTCTGTAAAGATTTGCAGTCTCAGAACCCTATACAAGGTCACTGTGAGTCGGAACCGATTCCACAGCACACCACCATCACCACCACCACCAGTGTTCACTGAGCTGAATAGCACACACATTGCATGCTTCACAGTGGTGCAAGGGACACAGTGTCTCCTGGGTGAACCAAACCTGCATCAGAGTAAGAGTTGCATGGGCTGCTCTGATTCCTGATGTCTAGACTGAACCTACATTTTTTATTTATTTTATACCTCAGGTCCATGTTGACTTCTGATACCTGCTGCTTCTTATCCCTCCTTGTCTGCCTGGAATTTTGACATCTGCTTTCACTGATCTCTGATTGTCGTGTGACCTCTATTATTATTACTACTAATACTACACTCTTGCATCTTAGTCTCTCTTAGCTACATCTTTGATGGCATCATCCATCTGGTATGGCTCTCATATGTCAGATATATTTACAGTGATTCTCTGAGTCACAAAACTATTCTTCACTGTAGGAAGGCTACACCTCAGGGATCCTTTAAATATCTCATTCCTCCAGAACATTTAGTATATGGTTTACATTATAAGACTTTGATTTATATTTAATGTCCAAGACATTTACTGAATCAAAGATTCAACAGCTTAGAACAAAGGAAACATAAATTTTAGAGTGAATTGGACAGATCTACATTCAAATTTCAGCTCCAAATTCAAGCTGCATGATCTTGGGCATCTTACTTAACTACTCTGAGTCTCAGTTTCTTATTTTGTAAAGTCAAAATGAAGAAAACCCCTGAAAGGTGGTTGTGGAATTAAATAAATTAATGTACATAAGATGCTGTTTCTTTTGTAGGTTTTCATTAAATTTTGAAAATGTTTACTGCATACTGTAAAATTATGATTAAAGTACTGATCTCTAGTTTACTTGTATAAAATGCATGGCTACAAACATTTTTCATGTGGAAAATATAAAAAACTTAATTTCTCAAATGAAAACATTTATAACCCACTTTTCAAGATATTGCTTATAGTTTAGAAGAAAATATGTGAGGTTTTTACTTTTGTTTCTTTTGTAGAAATCAATCTTGCATTATTGTATTTATTCATTAAAATAATTTTTGTTTAGTAAATAAGAAGTAAGATTTAGAGACATTTCTCATGCCACTAACTTTGAAATCAAAAGTCTGTCAAGACTAGCACTTTCAAGCCCGCATTTTTTTCTGATAAGTTTTAAAATCGATTTTGGAATAAACGGCAACATAAGTGTCAACATCAGTACCACATTTACTGATACTAAAACATGCATTATTTCACATGTTAATAATTCTGATATAAGAATACATTGTAACATCCTTGGCATATCATAATTTAGTTCACATTTTCCTTAGTGGTGTGTCTTAAAATTCGTGTCATCATAAATTCAATAAAGGTAGAATCTCAAATGTCACAGTGCATATTTGCATATCAAAAGTTCAAGGAGTTCTGTTGAAAAGCCACCAATCTTATTTTATGTAACCCAGCATAGGATTGCTTTTTGCTTCAACTTCCTACTCATTTTAGAGAATTTAGAATTAGAAACTTAGAAATTATGATCTAAACTAGATTATTCTTCTGCAGTCAGGAAACCACAATACTA